AGCCTCTGTGAAGCCTAAAATCTCTCTCAAAAGACTTTCTATCTCTTAGTAGAGGTGGTAATAGCTGCATCTTTAATTTCAATGGTATTTTTTTGAGCATAACTATCTTCTCTATCAACTTTCATTTTTTGGCTATAGATGTGTCTTCCATCCTATTAGCTATAGTCTTTTCTTTGATTAATTTATATATTTGAATTGTCATTGCCATTTGTCAAATCCAACACATATACAACAATCACTATATTGACTTATACAAATCTAAGATTTACAAAACTACCATATACCATACATAAACTTTGAATTTGTGCAATAGAGCTTACCATTGCTAAAAGAAAAAGATAATACTAGTGATGCCAATGATGCCAATGTCTTTAATCTACTTATTTATTCATTATCAAAACTTAGTTCCTAACTTGACAATTGGCATATCTCTTTACTCACTTATTATGTTTAATTGATTTAGAATAAGGTAGTAAAAAAAATTGGCAGTAATAAAAGTGATAGTATAACTTGGATATAGAATAAGTAGTCTAAAAGTCTATAATTTTTACAAAAGAGTGCACATCAAAGTGGCCACCAATACTTCCAAACTATCTAGTTAACTATTGAAACATCCATCAAGAAGATGTGTAGATTTCAAAAGTTGACACGCACTAAAGAAATTAACAACGTTCTAATAAATAAAATTTCACATGGTGAATTATTACCAAGCATATAATCAATACTTGTAATTATCTAAATAAAAAAAATATTTATAATTAAATAAAAGTACATAAATTTGATAATATCTTATAGAAAAGCTTTTTAGAAGCTTAGTAGATGCAAATTTGACTTTATATATATTTGTAGTTAATTATTAGGTTGAAAACTTGGCCAACCAATTGATCACTTGTGGTACAAGTTGGCCATGTGGTGCACATATAGGAAACTTAACTTATAAGTTAGACATGTGTTGGAGGTCTTATAGAATGTTGTCATGTAGCTCCTAATTAGATAGTATATATAGAAATCAAACTGAGGCCTTTCTTACTCTTGTCAATATCTTTTTTGTATTTAGTCTTATTTCAAGAGTCTGTAGTCTTCTTATCTTTACCAATAGCCATTCTAATTTTAATATTATACTATCTTTAAATAAATATCTATTCTTTTTTAATGACATAAGAATATATAGATTCTTTGATTGTTAACGAAACAATGAAAAAGATGTTAATCTTCTCTTTTTATTACACTATAATATAGCTATGTACTTTTTAAAATAAGAATCTTAATTTTTATCATAAATAAATATAAATAAAAAATATTAAAATTTTGAATACATATTAAATTCTTGTCTGAATAACTTCAAAAAATATTCTAAAAAATATCAAAATTTCTATTACAAATCATTAAAAATACTAAATAAGTTTTAAAAGAAGGAAATAAAAATAAAATTACATTAGTACTTTAATTTTGTATAGATTTAAATCATAATTAAAGTTAAATATTCGAAATATAAATTATTTTTAAAAAATTAAAAATTAAAAAATTAAACTTAATTTAACATTGTAATATTTTATATATTAAAAATTATTGTAGAGATAATTTGTAGCATGAAAAACCACAATATATAGATCAATGTTAAATTTAAGCAAATTCATTATCTTAAAAAAAGAAATAATAAAAATCAACTTATTATCAAATCTACATAATCACAAATTAATCAAATGAGAAGTTTTAAAGAAATGAATCAATACTTTGAAGAAGACAAATCAAAAGATTTTAAGAAGATGATTGGTGTAGAGAGAATTAAAACTATATATATATATATATATATATATATATAAAACATAAACCATGATCAAAGATTTATTATGGATACTGAATATTAGCTTAATTACTTTTTAAAGAATATAATTGATATATTTTAAAGAAGAGTCTCTTTGATATAAAAGTAATAGAGAATTCTATTAATAATAAATAAGTACCAAATAAAGCACTTACACTAAGAAATTATAATTATTTTGCAAAGTTTTGTCATAGTTTGGAAATGAGACTCTTGAATCTAAATCTCATTCAAATTTAAAACAAATTAAGAAATAACAATTCAAGTAGAGGTATTAGATGAACTCTTACAAATATGATAGAAAGATATTTTTTCTTGAGGCTAAGTAAAAAAAAGATACAAAATATTACAAATAAAAGATGCAATTATTATGGACAAAAACATAGTAGAAACAACCTCTTAATGTCTCCCTATAGTTGCAAGCAGATTAATGTTTTTAAATTAGTGAATTAAAAATAAATATGCAATAGAAATTTATTTATTTTTTAAATATCTTTCAATTTTTAACTTATTTATTTAAAATATTTGTTAAAAAAAAGAATTATATCTATACTTATAAATTACCACAACAACTAAAAGACTTAATAAATATAAAGGCATGTATGCACAATGATTCTAATGTCTAATAAGATACAAATTATGCTCCATCAAAGATACAAGGTTACAATAATAAATACATCTTTGAAATTTGAAAACTAGATTGCAATAAAAACTAAAAAGAAGCCAAGGCACTAAGATATGTTTTGCTATACTTAGAAAAAAATGACAATGTTATATAATTTTTATATTACAAGAAAAAAATATTATAATTATAAGAGATTAAGCATAGTCAAAAACTAGCTCCAAGAAATTTTTGTTTCTTATTACAATCTAAGTTATAATCAATTGAAATATCAATATATGCCACCAATTTTATTTTAGAAAATATTATAAACAAAATCTTAGAAACAATAAATTAAAATCTTATCAAGTCTATTTTTACAAAAATAATTCAACAATGCAATTAAGGAATTGGATTTAGAAAAGGAATTAAATTCCATTGCATGAAGAATAGAGATTTTTAAAAATTTAATGTTATTATTAATAATAATTTTAAAATTTCTTAATAATAATCTTAAATTTTCGTTTTTTAACTATATAAGGATAGGTTTTACCTTGGATTTGAAAAGAAAGTAATCATAATGTTTGTAGGAGTTTAAACAATAATATACGTTAGTTGTGAGTGAAAATAAAATCTTCTCTTAGAAAATAATATCATAGAGTTTCTTGTTCATTTAATACTTATTGTTTCTAATAGATAAAGCCCTATATATTACTCTTTAAGAAGAATCAACAAGCACAAGTGTTGATAAAATTAAACTATTTAATAAATTTGCACAATACCCCACTAATTAATATGTCAATAGTTTAATTCTTAAAATTTCAAGTAAAGAAGAATTTATCTTTGACATAGTCAATATTCTTCACAAATTTATCTTGGCCTTAGGATTAAGAATTACTCTAATTAAATCAATTATCCATTAGAAATATATATATATATATATATATATATATATATATATATATATATAAGTGAAATCCTCAAATTTCTACTAGATAAAGAGATTTAATCGAAGTTAGACAAAAGAGATTAGATTAAGTAAAATTTTAAACACTCTATTTAAAATATTATTGCTAATCAAGGATGTAGACTACTTCTAAATATATTTATTTGAAAATAAACTTTATGATTAGTATTCTATTTTTTTAATTGCAACAAAAACAAAAAACAAAACAAAACATTATAAAGAGTGTGCTACTTCATTCTTTATACTTAACTTATATTTGGACTAGATCATAAAAGAAATTAGAAAGTTTAAAATTATGATATACAAATTCTAATAGCAAGAAATTTGTATGATATTAAGAATTAAGGTAGTTTGGAACCTATATTGTTATGAAGAAAAAAAAAAAAAAAAAAAAAAAAAAAAAAAAAAAAAAAACTACAAAAAAAACCTAAGGATTATTGATCTAAAAAAAGCTATAATCACATGAATAATTAAATTAATTAAAAGTGCTCTACTATTACCAAGCTTTAACATGCTAAACCTTTTAAATATTAGATTCATACTAACAAAATGAAATGAAGAAAAAAAAATGGCAATCAAATTTAGCACATGCTCTAATATCACACAACAAATTGTATCTTTATTCTTAAAATGGAAATTGAATAGATTGAATCTTGACTGAACTCATAGACTTTCTACAACTTAAGATTCTATATCTTTTTATATCACATAAAACCTATCAATATGGTGGTATTTAGAATATTATGTATTTTCTACTTATATTTTGGCTAATAAGAATGCACTATTAAATAAAAATGTATTCCAAAGGAGCAAAGATATTTACAATATAAAACAAAAAAAGATCAAAAATAAAAAATAAAAAACAATTTATGGCAACAAAACATATCATTTTGAACTTAAGTAGTTTTATTAGAGATTGAGATTTTAGGAAATATTTATCATCTTTCCATGTAAATAGTTGAATAAATAATGTCAATATGATGGCCATGTTCTTTTAAGACAAAAAAATAGATTGAATTATATATATTAACAAAAGTCCCTTTGTTATATATAGAATTTTAATTTATTAATATTTTGTAAAAAATAAGATGTTTTGTATGAATGAATAATGTGATGTAGAAATCTATTGAATCAAGATTCAATTTCATATTATCTACTATTTAATTAGATATAAAAATATATTAAAAATATCATAATTTGAACAAACATTGACGAAGAACACCTAGTTTTTAATTATTAAATGTTTTGCACAAATAGATGTTTAAACATACTTTATCAATCCTTGCAGAAATTATTCTGGTTATTCAAGTAGGTGAAATCAATTGATATGTCACTTTGTAAATTAGCACTTTGCACTATTATGCTCTTTGTGTTATGCCTTGATGCTTAACTGAATTTGAAAATGGAAGAGGGACTACATACATTAAAGCTTTCATAGTTGAGCTTGCTTATTTGTGTCATTTTTGCTGTCATTTTAAAACCGTCATTCTAAAAGTCATCAAAACGCGTCAATGCATGTTTGCCTAATAATGAGTCAATGTAGAGGAAGAAATGTCAACAAAGAAAGTGCTTTAAGATTCTAACTAGCGCAGAAAGGTCGATTCCAGAACTCATCATCAAGATCCATGATCTGATAACATGAACAATTCAATTGAGATCATCATCGAGGTTTGCCGAGCAATACGTGCTTAATGATAGCTTGGCTGCATTTATCTATGAGATGTATTCACTGTATCCTTAGCTGTACAGTTGCAATGAATCAGGCCAAAAAGAGTTTCTGCATTCAAACTATGCAATGTTATTGGTAGCAGCAAGATCATTTACAGATGTTTACAAATTCAAAACCTTGCTCCAGTGCGACTATGACGTGGTTTTGCCAGATTACTTGTTGCGAAGTAGTCTGTTGGCCTGTTCAAGGTCGTCTCTTTCAGCCACGACATTCAAAAACTTATCGCTGATGTCTCTGACTTGATCTTTCATCTCTTTGATCTCCATCTCCTTCTTCAGAAGTTCTTCACCCAATTGGGCTGCCTTTACACCTGCGTTCTTTTTGTCATTTAACAACTCTTTAAACTGCTGCTCCAAGTCACTCCGATTATCTTCCATGTCATACATCTTGACATTCGCATCGTGCAGTTCTTTGTTGAGAACCTCAATTTGTGAATTGAGAGCTTGAATTTCAACTTCAAAATTTTCAATCTTTGCCGCACCCTTGGCCAGATCAAACTTAAGCCCCTTGATCTCCCGTTCCATTCTCCTTTTAGCGATTGCCTCACTCTCAGCCTTCGCGAGATCTTCTTTCATGCCGTCAATTTCGTTGTATAACCGTTCATTTTCATTTTCTAAAGCCTCAACTTTCTCCTGCAGCTCTGCAATCTCGTCGTTCATCAGCACATTATCTTTTTCAAGTTCCGCAAATTTAGCCATCAGCATAGCCTTTTCTTCATCTAAATCTTCACCTCCTCTGGCTGTTGTGCCAGCTTCACGCTTTTGTGAGATATCTTCTTTCAATAACCTCAACATATCTTCTGTAGCATGTAAGAGTTTTTCTGTATCGTTTTTGTCGCGAGTCAGGATCGAAACTTCCTTTTCAAGCTTCTCAATTTTCAACCTATACAGTCCAAGTGAACATGTTACACACGGTGCTAGGAAACTTGCTGCGCAACACAAACCACATTGTGCAGAAGAAAGAAAAAATTAAAAAGAAAAAGAAAAAAAAACAAATACAAAAACAAAAGAAAACGCAATCAGTCACAACTACATTCTGGTCTGATCTCCTGACAGGAAAGGTTCGGGGTTTAGGATTTAGGTTCATGTACGGTTCTTGCTCTAAGATACAAGTGGAAAACGATGAGAAACCACAGAGAAGAAGGCTACGCAAGCGTAGAAACCTACTTGACATCTTTTTCAACAGTTTCATGCTCTTGGGCCTCTCTATCCATAGTCTCTTCCATAATTGCAAGTTCCTCATCTAGTTCGTCCTTCCTTGCTGTGACAGCCTTGAGTGACTCTTCTAGATCAGAGATACGATCCAGGGCTTTCTTCTTTTCGCCTTCCACCTCGGCAAGTTTCTGTTCTAAACTCCGCTTCTCTGATTCAAGTTTCTCATTATCTGATGTGTCTGATACGTGGCTATCCAGCTGAAACCTTAATTTCTGGATCTCCTCTATAGCGGACCTGTGCTCTCCAGCTAACCGAAGGCTGGTTTCCATCTCCCGCTGCTCAGCGTCACCGAGCTTCCGTTCCGCAATTTCACGAGCGTTTACAGCATCTTCAAGCTCATTCTCCAATTGTGTGATCTTATTCTCGTATTGTGCGATCTTATCCTCTGCTTCTTCATGCAATGTATTCAACAACTCTATTTGAGAATTCAGAGTTGGCAGCTGTTCACTTTCCAACGTTTCAATTTGCATCCTACACTCCTCGAGCGCCGTTTCTAAAGCTGTGTTACTTCTTAACAGGTCCTTTTTTTCGTCAGCAGTGGCGTTGCTTTTGGCCTGAATTCAACAATGTCGAAGTAAGGTTGGATGAACTCTAGAAAATTCAAAAGAATACAAATCACTGGATATGCAAATGGATACTAAAGAGCTGTGGCCTATTCAATTCAATGCACTCACCATTAACTCATCGAAGCTCTGCTTCAACTGGGTGAGCTGTTCTTCAAGGTCACTTTTCTCCCCTTCAAGTTTCGTGATGGAGAGTGAGATAGCTTCTTTCTCATCAACCATCTGGGTGATTTCATCGTAAAGCTTATTTGTCTCATCCCTCAATTTCATCAACTCCTGCTCCCGCTTCTCTATCTCCTCTTTCTGTCTCATGAGCTCTTCCTCACGATGCTTCGCAACTTCTCTCAGTTTGATCAACTCTGCCTCTTGAGCAGCATTGGTTTCTAGTAACAATACACGCCTACTGTCCGTATCTGATTCCAGCTTAGCAATTTTGATACGTAAAGCAGAAATTTCTTGATCCGAATTTGAAAGTTTTACTGCCCAGTCACGTTCACGCTGAGCAAGAAGCTCTCGGTTCTCCTGCTCCTTCAACGACTGTCTCTGCGTCCACTCTCTTTCAGAAGCTGCAATCGCTTCCAGAGGACCAACAGGGACGTGGCTAGAGATTTTCCTTTTAGCAGCATCAAGCTCTCTTTGTAACTCTTGAATCTTAGCATCTTTCTCACTAGCTACCTTGTTGATTGCATCCCTTGAGTTTGACAACTGCAATTTGAGATCGTGATTTGTCTCCTTCAAATTCCTGATTATCGCCTGGGCTTCGTTCACAGAGAAACTGTCGAAAAATGAAAAAATAAATAAATAAAATTAAAATTAAAATTAAACGATGACCAAAACGTCAACATAAATCAACAATTAAACCCCAGATTCCACTTGAATACAAAACGAATCATTCACGCATCGGAGAAAACCTGGAAGAAGAACGTTACCTGATATTTTCCTTCTTATCATCTGGTTTAGGCACAGAATGACATCCATGTGGCTCATCATGCTTGACTGATTCCGGCTTGGAAAGAAGACTCGCGAAATTAGATGTCCATGACGTACTCTCACCAGGAGTGGTAGTGTATGGTCCACTAGAGACACCAGGGTAAAAACTCGAGTCGGGAGGCGCTGCAGGTGGATACTGACTAGCAGCAGAATGAGAAAGAGATGAAGTAGGCTGCTGCTCTGAGTGAGGATAATTGTAAGAGCTAGAATGTTGGAGAGAGGAAGAGTGTGCGTAAGGCGCTGAGTAGTCCTCTGGAGTGGCAGGGGAATTGGAGGGATAATAATTTTGTTGAAACGAATTGAGCTGAGACCCATAAGACTGTGAGTCATAACCAGGATAGGGAGCATACTGGTCTGAATAGGAGTAAGCTGGATCCGTCAATGTAGAAGGACGAGACGGTTGGGGCAAACCCGGAGGAGCATAATGCTCTGGCTGTGGGTTATTGTAAGCCTGGTACCCGTATGGATCGTACTGATACATTGCGCCAGTACAATTCCAAAGATGAAATAATTCTGCCGGCTACGATTTCACAACAATCTGTAATGCTGTGAGAGGGATGATCTGCACAGACCCGCAGATATTAGTGTAGAACGGAAACCAGCACGTACATCTGCAAAGCTAACAAGACGCAAAACCAAGTTCCATATAAACGACAAACTAACTCAGGGCTTTCTGCCAACATAATTCAATGTTTTTCAGAATAATTTTCAAAACAGGTGACACACAATTGCAAGATTCAAAGTCAAAAACGATTTTGGAAAAAGATAAGAAGCATAACACAACGAGAGGTCCCCATCGAAGTGCTTAAGTTTCACGTGTGCAAGTTACCCCTTGTTGGGACAAATTACTTCACCAAAATGTCCTCTTTCACTACAAGCGTACACCAACTCAAACTGTACTAAGAATAACCCTCAGAGATTCAGTTTACTGCACTCTCTTCACCGCTACCAGGGTTTTACGTACCACAAAACAAAGTAGAATCCAACAGATACAAATCCACAGAGATCGACAATTGCACCTCTTCATCCCCACCGCTCTAACCTTAAAAGTCTCTTGACGATGGCGAACTCTACGTCTGCAACGCACTCCAGTATCTATACTCATCCAGGCTCCCAACGCCCTCACGATTTCCACATTGGACAAACATCAAGTCAAAGCAAACTTACAAAAAAAATCTCTAAAACGTCAAACGCTCGCCACGCTGTCTGCAGTCCTCACAAGTGTTGCCGTGTCCTCTTTGCTTCCCGAAACGCAAGCAAGCCAGAGACTATCTCTTTCTCTCTCTCTCTCTCGCTCTCTCCCTCTGCGCATCCAGAAACCTCAAAAACTTTCCCTCTCGTCCCCAAATCCCAAAAACCACTAACAATCCTCTTCAGATACCTGCAATAGAAGTACTCTTCACGACAACCCGACACCATGCGATCGGACCCAACAGATAGAAGAAACGAAAAAACCCAATTCCTCCAACTGACCTCCAAAGTGCCAACACGCTTGTCCTCCACCAAAATCGACAGGGAAGGTTCCCGAAACTAGCCTAGAAACTCGCAGGCGCGTCTCGCACACCACGCCACCATCTCGGAGGGACCCAAAAGTTTTACTGGGATTTCTCTGGAACCTTTCACTTTGCTACTAAGCTCCGAAGTCTGATGCAACTACGTCTTCAACTCCTCACCAACACTGCCTTCTAAACTGCCCTCAATTCCCTCACGAAGATATGACAAAAAACACACACAGATCGCCCCCTGATTCGGCTCTGATTCATACCCTTCCTCCATTCAAACTATGCAATGTTATTTTTTCGATGGGGTTTGACTGTCGGTAAGGCGGCCGCTTGCTTGCGTGCTGGGATCGAGGAAAAGGGGTGTGGCTAGTCTTTGAGCGACTCCCAGTTTACTTATACTAAAAGCTTTTAGTAGGGGCGGTAATAATACACGATACGACTCTCCTTGCCTCGGGCTCTCTGTTAATTTTACGGTTTACACACATGCAGAAGCCTTGGATCTGGAAAAAGGGATTTTAGAACCCAGTTTTTCTTTTTCTTTTTATTTTCTTTTCGTCTCTTCTTTGAATACTTTCAGTAAATACAAGGAGGAATCGGTAAACACACACATTCAAGGCATCTTCCCAACCCCTATAAAAAATTGAAAGTTTGGGTAGGACCCCACTACCATTACTCTTCCTTTGTCCTAAACAAAATTGGTGATTTTATGGTCCCACTTATGTTTTTGCATTTGTTAGAGGTTGGGAGCCCACAACCTCAAAGTGTGTCAATGAGGATCATACATGTGTAGTAGACGTTCATCCAAATCAAAACTTTACACAGGTATAATTTTTTTGAAAAGAAAATGGAACAAAACAGTGAAACATGTGTAAAATTTTCTAAAAAACATATATATGGGAACATTTATTTATGGAAAGATTATCTTCGCACATGATGCCCTAGAGCTCTAGAAGAGCACGCAAGGGCAAAACCAGCTCTCCATTCGTGATGAAATGGATGAAAAATACGCCAACAGGAACCATCCACGAGTTTGAGAATGGGACAGTTGTGGTGAAGCGGCAGTGGATCTAGGGTTTCGGATTTCACATCCCTCCTAACAGGTAACAAGGCAAATTCAAGCTGGCTAATTTTCTTCCTCGAAAGCACCACAAAAAGCAGACGACGCAGTGAAATCAGAGGCTGCGGGTATGGCGACTCCGCACCACTTGCCATCGCGGATCAGACTGGCACAATGCCCCAAAATAGAGTGAGAGAGAGAAAGAGAGTGCTGCTGCGGAGGAATAGCAGAAGGAGGAGGAGGAATGTGCGGTTGGTTGGTTGCTTGTTCAACTGCTGCACCTCCGATTTGCGCGCCTTGATGATTCTCCGAAGGCGTCAAGGTCTCACACCCACCCATTGACTTTGGGAGTGCTCCCGCACCGCTCGCTTTTCCTGAAGGGATCCAGTGCTGTGTGAGAAGAACGGATCGAGACGCTGAACTGGGTCAGAAACGGAGATTTCGTGCGGAAGAAGGCCCGAATACAGCGAGACATGGCTCTCTGACTGCACTGAGAGCGAGAGCTTCACGAGAATCCAAAGACATAGCCACGACGGGGCCCGACGGGGTCCACGTCGAGAACATCCAATATGGATGGATGAACTTGCATCATCTGTCCATCTCATTTAGGGTTTCATCCGAATAGTGACACTTACTGACGTGGCTCAAGGATCATGACTAGGCGTAGTTGTTGTTTGGAGGATTATTTGATTCTTCGAATTATAATATAACCACTTTGTGACACTACCGTTTTTCACAATTTAAGCTTACAACTGAAAAACCATGTGGATTGCTTGTGATCTCAAATTCCAAGTCTTTGAGAACTTCATTCTAAGTCGCATGTGGTCCCTTGGCCATTAAAAATACTTGTATATACTAGATATATCTGCACACAAAAATATTTTTACACAAAAACACAGTTGTGAAAGTGATTATGTAAATTTAGCTTACAAAAATAGTATCTATAATTTCAAAACATTTTTATTATTTTTTGAAATCTAATTATAACTTGAAATGTTAGAAAAATATACATTTAGCTTAAAAATAGAAAATTGGTATGAATAGTTGTTTTATTAATATTAATTGTTTTAAAATTATATATATTATTTACTCTAAATTAATTATTTTTTATATTTTTAATAAATCTCTAAAAAAATGTATTGTGCTTTAGATTTATTAGGTATTATTAACCTCAATTCATTTTGAATGCAACATTTAAAAAATTATATCGTAAACACTCTTCATTTGACATACACTGTAAAATAAATCTTTTGGCAACAAAAGAAAAGTGTGCTCCATCCACAAAAAAATAATGTTAAGAAATGAAGAATCAAAGTAGACAAAATGTTTTAGGTTGATGCTAAGACTGATGCTTGGTAACTTTGCTTCCCAATGGAATCATAACTACATGTCTTATTTTGAAACACCAATTTGTTAACTAATTATTTTCAACGACAAACTTGAAAGAAAGATGATCTAAAAATAAGTCATCTGTTATAAGTATTAAACATCTTAATATATTTTGTTGGATTTTGGGCATTATACACAGCTTGAAATATTGTATCGGCATATAGATTTACACAAAAGGTATTGACTTTTACTATAAACAAATTGTTTATTATTAATATTGTGCAGTTAATACAGAGAAATAATATGTGTTGATGTTAGATTTTGGTCATCATACTCAACTTATTTTAAACACAAATTCTTAGATCATTTTTTTAATTTTTTTAATTTTAATTTTTAAATACGTTGTGCATGCAAAAAGTACAAATTTCCTGACAATGCACTTCTAATGTCTTTCATTACTACATGAGATTTCAACACGTATTCAGTACCACACAAAGAACTTTCAAGCATTGTGTTAGAATGTTGAAATATTATATTTTTAAGATTATATGTAGTGTGTAGAAAAATTTGTTGCAAAAAACCCACATTCATGCATTTGATTAGGTATATATATATATATATATATAAATATTTCTTTTTTTACAATATATTATTACATGACTTTTATAGATGAAAGGGCACATATTAAAGACAATGAAAACATAGGCAACAACATGTCAATTTTGTTAAACAAAGAAGAAAAATATTGAAAAAAAAATTGAAAAATTGAAAAAAAAAAAACAGACTAAGGTTCTTTAATATCATATGTGAATATTGTAATCATACTATTTAAATAATTAGAATTTTATATGATATTTAAATTAATAAAAATCTAAACTATAGATGTCAAAAGATAATTTTTCAAATAATTTTAGATATTTCTTGAAAAGTATTCTACAAATATTGAATATTAAATGATAATTTATGTCCAACATTAGAAGAGAGAGCATTACACATCACACATGATTTTGCTTCTATTTTATACATGATATTAATATTTACATAGATCACAAATCCATTTAGCAATAACAAGTGATACTACTTGTAAATACTTCCAACTTTATTCAACATAGCATTGTATTAATATTTCTTGATACAATGCTATGTTGAATAAAGTTGGAATATTTCTTAATACAATGCTATGTTGAATAAAGTTAGAAGCAATAACAAAAGATACTACTTGTAAATTTTTCTTCTTTGTCCTTCTATTTTTTGTTTTATTGTCTTCTTATTGTAACTAAGTTTTTTTTATCTTAGTATATTCTATAAGCATAATTAAAAATATTAAAATAAATAAATAAATAAATAAAAGTGTTTTGGCAGATAATAAAAATTACATATTAAGAATTCTTTGGATTTAGAAGAAAAAGCAATAGATCACAACTTTCTAAACTTGTGATTGGTTGAAATAAATTAAAATAAAATAATATTTGGATTTATGTTAAGAAAAATCAGCCAAGATGGTTTATGAATATATATATATATATATATATATATATATGTTAGGAGATTGTTAAAGCCACACCTCAATGTTATTAGAGCCACATTCTCCTTGCCATCTCATAATTGATTTTGTCCATTCTCCGTCTCAGTCCCTTTACAATTCCATGTTCCCATTTTCTTTCTTTGTTTCTTGTCCATACTTCTTCATTCTTAGTCCCATATCCATGTTCCTTTCTCTTGTTCTATATTCCCTATCCTAAATTCTCCCTTGTCATTGTTCTTGTCTCTCATTCCTTATCTCCTAATATTTCTTGTAGGCAATTAACATAAATTATCACACTTTGTTTCCAATTCTTCTAAGTTCTCTACATTATAATTAATTGACTAGTTTCATTTTTACATTGAAACCTAGGATATTATGACTCCTCAGCCCACACTGCAAATGCATCCCACAACCTTTCTAAGTGTATTAGAAATTTTATCCAAGCTTGCAATAGAGATTAAGTGTAGTGGTGGTCATAGTAGTGGTCAATCAGATTGAGCTTAAACAACTTCGGCAAATACTTCTCTTCACCTCATATTCCAAAAAGTGAAAGAATGGCTTGACAATATTGAGGCTATTATCCCTCTGCAAAAATATTTATTAACTCTTGGAACTTGCTAAAATGTTATGCATATTGGTATTAGACCAACTTTCTTTTCTAGTTGCTTGCCACCAACTCACTATATAATACTTGATGATCTTCCACATAACCTCCTCAAAGGATTGTATTTCTAGGAAATTAATCCCTACTTTTCACTAATCCAAGTAACACACACTAAAAGTATCTAAATAATATTAATAGTATCTATGCATCTCCCATGCAAATGTTGGTAATAGGCTCAAAAAAGGCAATACACATTTGACACAAAAAATGAGGGATAAAAACATGGATAAGGGATAAGAAATGAAGGAAGAGAATGGAGATTTGGAGGGAGGGAGTTTTGGAACAAAGGACAAGGGACAATGGATGAGAATGGAGACATGGAATTGGGAATAAGGGATAGAAATAGGAGATAGATGGAATCAATCATGAAATTGCAAGAAGGGATGTAATTTTAATAACAACAAGGTGTAGCTTTAACAACTCCTTATATTTATTAGTAAATGACATAAATAACATTGTTCTATAGAATTTTTATTAGATTCATCTTAGAGAATTATTTTTGACCAAAAATTGAGAACATGTGTCAAAAATGCTAAAATTATTTATTAAGATTATTTACTATTTATTTATTTTATTTTTTAAATAATTTTTACAATAAAAATGTTAGATGGTGTATTTCATAATTATAATAAAATAAAGAAATTATTAAATTGATTCACCATTTTATTAAATTGACCATCTCGTGACAATTTAAGAATATCTCTTTCTCAAAGCCTTTTCACAACTCCTTTGTGACTATGAGATTTACTTCAAAAGAATCCCCTACTACACTTGGTCCTTTTATACTCTTAGTAAGACTACAAACCCAAATTTATTTCTAATCTAGATGATTGTAAATTAAATTTAGCAAAAGAATAGGTCCAATAATTATCTAATAATTTCTTAAATAATGATATGGTCTATGTGATGACATTTTCTCATTATGTATATTATTTTCAAATGCTAAGATTTCTATGAATACAACATTTGTCAGCAAGCAAGAAACCTTTGTAAGATTTTTAAACCACGTCCTTTCAAAGTGGACTTCTAAGTGTAAAGAATCCTGATTACACAAACAAGTTGGTAAAAAAATCACAATCAAATCACCTCATCTGCATATAACACACACGACATGCAGACTTTGAGGCAACGTGAAATGAATGACCTGAAAAGCACTGTGTTGGGGGTCTTCGAAGTAAGAATATATGCATCTGTATGGATGGATGTGGGAATTTATCACTATTCAATGTACAGAGCTCTGCCGAAACCCTAAGCCCTAAACCCTGTGGTTCCGAAGCTTAATGTCCAGTGTCGTCAACAACCCAGAGCGTGCGTGGACTGATTTCTAGCACGAAACCTGCAATTGGGTTGTTGTTATTGTTGTAGAAAGTTATCCTCTGTACGATCCTGAGAGTGAGATATTTGCTGGGTTGGTGGTTTACCCGAGAACTGAGAGAATTCTGTCGAGGAATTAGCACTATCTTTACCCGCTTCGATTGTGGTGATTTTTATTTATTTATTTATTTTTTGTATTTGTGTGGGTTTGGTGATCGTAGGGTAGTTTTATTTATTTGTTGTGGAATCGAAATAGTTGCGTTGAAGAATTGTTTTTTTGGGTGGCATTCTGAGCTGGTGGAGAGATGGCACAGACAGTGAGCGCTATTGATGGCGCTATTGCTCACTTGGATTCTATTATTGTTGGTCTCACTAGTTCTGATCCTGCTCCTGCCCCTGCGGCCACTGCTGCCGTAAAGCACACCAAACCTGCAGTGCTCTTCGGTGAACCGATTCGAAAACCGGTATGAGGTGCTAGCATTTTTTATTTTATTTTACAGTTTAATGAGTTCTCTTTGAATTGGTGAAGTTTGTTTGGGGTCGTCATGCTCACCCAGAAAGAAAGTATTGGAATGCGGAAAATTAATGTGCTCTGATTGCACCTACAATTCTTTGATTTTCTGCATTCTCCCGAGAGTTGGTTGTAATTTTACATTGAGGAGTCATTTACCCCCTCCCCCCTCTTTACGAAAACCTTCCACCATGATGGATTTCCTACGTTTTCAAAAGGTTTGATTGAAGCAAGTTTTGATGTAATTTCTTTTGTAAGTAGGAAGAAGTTGTGGACGTTAAGCCCAAGGTCAGCAAGAAAAACGAGGACAAGCCCATCCCGGACATTCTTAAAGGGCGCAACCGTGAGTGACTGTCTCTATGGGGATTGGTAGTTTTTTGACTGCATTAGTTGTCTTCTTTCATCTGCTGTTTTTTGAATAGTAGGTTGATGTCAATCCAAGGTCACGACCTTCTCTGTACAAAATCATTTGTCATCGGCACTTCATATCTTGAGTTGTGCACATTTGTCTGCCAGTGAAGCTTCCTGGAGCAGCTGCTGCAAACAGCAATGCAGTCACAAGCGGAAATGAACAGAATGACAACTTTGACAAGGCACTTATGCAGGTATGGTTGAAAGCTCTGGTCCTGCTTTTTGATGGCTTCTTCATAGCAAGTTTCTTATTTTTGATACATAACGTTATGTGATGATTTCAGCTGCATCTTTGAATTCTAACTTACAGTACTACCATATCACATTTTTTTGTATATGCACAACTTTGAATTACTGTGCCATGTAATTAATGGAGCTCAGGTATCATTGGTGCAATCTGTCGAAAACCATCCAAATTCAGAGAAGTTGTATGTCTGTAAAGTGGATGTGGGCTGCGGCAATATAAAACAGGTGTAGTAATCTTGTCCTAACCATGATCATGTTTCCCGTGTCGGCGTCACTTATCATAGTATATTGATGCTTTTCACAATACCCACTCTGAAAGGGTAGATCTACGTATACATTAATTACTAAAAAATAAGACTATAAATCAGGAACTTCCACTGTTGCTGGTTTACATTTGTGCAGTGGCGTGTAGGTTTTTTCGATGATATGATATCACACCCTCTTGTCTTCCTAGTTGATACTAGATTTGATACCTATAGATTTTTTCTTCATTAGGACAGAATTCTTTTGATAACCTGGCCAGTTGCTGCTATTGAGTGACATGACAAAATTTGGAGTTGATTGATTTTTTGCGCATTTTTGGAGTATGGAAGTCTCCCAACAAAAATTCCTGGGTTTTCTATATCTTTTTCGTGGCAAATAGACTCCAGTTCTTGTTCGCAACAAGAGCCACTGTGCTTTAGTATTCTTACAGACCTAGGTAACGCAGGTTGTGGCAGGCTTAAAGAAATTTGTGACTAAGGAGGAACTTGAAGGCAAAAAGGTCTGTACGATTCTGAATTTGAAGACTGCCAAGCTTGCGGGACAAGTTAGTGAAGCAATGATTTTGGCAGGTTCAGTGGCTACTGAGGATGGAAGTGAGATTGTCAAGGTAAATTCTCGCTCTTTTACTCTCATGCTTTCACCCTCATCGACCTGAGATCTATCAGCTTATATGCTAATTTAGTTCATCGTAATTCGCGTTTTTTTATATTTTATGTGAGGTCTTTTAATCAGTAATTATGTTTTGACCTTTTGTGTAGGTACTTGAACCTCCATCAGAAGCTGCTCCAGGGGACCGCATCTTTCAAGAGGTGAGTACTTCATCAAATTTTGTAAATCTCCGATCCACTGCGAAGGTTCAACTGAATAATACGTAGAACCCTCCCATCACGATGCCGCTTTTATGGTGGTATTTGTTTTGGTTTGCAGGGCGGAGTTCCAAGTGCCAACCCTGCCAAGCAACTGAGCTCAAAAATATGGGAAAAAGTAGTTCCTCTTCTTCAAGTGAAAGGTATGCTACGATTTCTTTCCTCAAAGCCAACTTCTGTCAGCAGTGGTCGTTTTCCTTAGTGTGGTATGTGAACATTGCTGATTGATCACTTCAATGTATGGCTTCGATTATGGACCTTGATCTAGACATCGTTGCCAACGTTACTGTCTGTTCCCCTTAGATCCAAAATTAGCATGATTATATTTACGCGTTATACCTTTATCTTCTTTGTCAAATCTTCCTTCGTCTTATGATCCATAGAATGAAAATCATTCTGAATTTGCTAGCACTTTTTACTTGTTTGAGTTGCCTTTATCAAGCATAGTCAGTATCGATATCCGAATCCAGCTGATTACATCGATCACAATTAGGACCAGCTTAACACTATGGTGGCCTCTTTTTCCAGGTGGATTAGCAGTGTTCGACAGTAAGTCATTGGTGACATCCTCGGGTCCAATTAAAGTTCCCGGACTGCCCGATGGAGCTGGAATTCATTGATTGCTATGTTTGAGGTGTTGGCTTGTTCTGGCATATTGGCCTATGGGTGGAGTATTTGGCACATTATTTTCGCAGAAAACGGTTTAGGGAATTTTTCTTGACATATGTAACTCGTCATTGCTGAGTTTTAATTCCTTCCATCTAGAAGGTGAATTACCTAGTCTGGCTGATTATCGAACAGCTGATATACGCTATTGATCTGTTGTAAAGTTTTGTGCGATGTTCATCGGTCACGTCCGCTGTAACGGCAAAACTCTCGACTGGGGTATCAATCAAGTTTAGTAAAACAATGGATGTTGATGTGAAACATGGAAATAATGTTTTAAGATTTCCGTAAGTACAATAGTATCCTTTAAATTGGTACTTTCACCTGCAAATCAAGATTGGGTGATTGATAGAGTGTAGAAATTTTTATGGATTGTAATGCATCTTAGTGTGCGGGATTCAATTGTCATTGATGGCAAACTTGATACCAAATTTGTACACAATTGTGACAATTGTGAATGGAACATATTGAGATTGGCCATTGAATATATTGATACTGGTGGTAGTGGTGTATTGGAGAAAATTAGTAGAAAACAAATATGAGAGAATGATAAGGGGTTTCTCCATCTAAATATTCAAACTCTAGTTGAGATTCACAAAGTCGACTAATGAAAAAAGTTAAATGGATGACAAACCACTAAATCATACTTAATTACATTCATTTGATGAGATTTGGCTCCCATTGTTACATCACATAATAATGCAAAAAATAAATATTTTAAGTAGATATTTAACAATATTTGTTTGTTTTCTTTTAAAATGAATAAAATTGGATACAAATTGTGATAAAGATATGTTATAACAAACTTTGCAATTATTTGAGATATATAATGATATAAAATACTGAAGATTCTTACTATCAAGATTAGTTTTGATTGGATTAGCTTTTTGAATAATAAAGCCATTTTTCAAAAAGATCTATAATTGCAAGATTTTTTTATTAATATCATAATTAATCTTAGTTAATGAAAACATTAAATATAAAAAATAGTCTAATATTATCTATAGCTATTTGTAATAAATTACATGTAATACAAAATATGATGCATCTATTTTTATATATATATATATATATATATAGATATATAGAAAAAGAGAGAGAGAGAAAGAAAAAAAAAAATATTAATACTACATCTCCAATTGATATCACTACATCCTACATGACCTCTTTGTAAACTAATACCTAATGATATGTCTTTTTCTTTTTTGGGCATTTTTTTTCCCTCCAAACATAATGATGGTTGAGAAAGAGACAATGAATATTTTATGAAAAAATAGATTACAAGCTGTTTTTATAAACAAAACAATAGCCTCAAAATATGTTTAATAAGAAATCATTGATTTATTTATTTGACTGCCATTTTTTTTTAATTCATTTTATTTTTGGCCCAATATTAAGATTAATTATTGGATTTCCAAATGCATCCTAATCATAGAAGCACGCTTTTTAGTCAATTTAAATCATATGAAGATCATCTGAAGTGTAACAATATCAATAGTATATATATATATATATATATATTATATAGTCATTATAATAGCAATTATATTATAATTATATATATATCTCTCTCTATATATAGATATTTAGTTTTTTTAATCAATTATTAATATAAAATTTAAGCATTTTTACAATCAAGAGACACAATGTTATAATAAAAATGCCCGTACCTAGTTTGGAGTAAAGTTTTTTCTTTCTTTCAATCTGCACGAAATGAATTTTTCTTCAAAAATATATCTTAGTATACATCTTAACTTTATTTAATTATACATATACTGAGAAATGTTGTGTAAAAGTCTCACTCTGCACAATTGTTTCAAACAAACTCATACCTCAACAAAATAATGCGGATACACAACTTGAATACACCATTGTTGTGTGCTAAAGTCATACAGTCAAGTATGGTTACTTACAAGATAAATATCTTCTCCAAGCGACTACAAATGAGTTATTCTTCATATACATTTGGTCGAATTACTAGCATGGATTGGGAACCAAATACGGCACGGTATTCGCGGTGCTTAGAAATCATCCATGCGTACCTGAACATCGGCAGCAAATTGTGACAACTGGATGAGGAAGAAATTGCAAACTTATGACACTGTCGCCCACTGAAACAGCCTACATACTCCGGGGTCTAGGTCTCCACACCTGATAAAGACCACCTCCCATCCGTATGCAGCGCCGTCCACTAATCTCATCCTGACTGCACTGCGCATGACATAGACAATCAGCAGCTTCACAGACTACGCCATGACTTGTGCTCATGTGTTGCAGTGCGGGAAAACTAGCTCTCCCCACAAGCAGCAATACCCAATGGGTGAAATCGTCGACTGAAATGCCAGAGACCAGTGAACCATGCAGCAGGTGCTGTGGTAGTGTGGTGATGGAGTGGAGTTAGTGGATCCTCCACCACCCAAGAGTAATACGACGATGCGGCGGCGCCACCTCTGGTTGTGGGACGCGGTTCTGCTGTCATTCGGACATCCTACAAGCTCCGGTGGTGGCGGCGGTGGGTGTTGTCACTGGGGTGAAGTCTCACAGCCATGTCTTGAGTTGTCCCATGAGATTTTAGTTGGATTTTATCTATTTATTCACTATCAAACCATAATGGTGTAGACTTCTTTGTCAATTAGTTACATAGAATAAGTCTTGGTTAAGTTCATGGTGGTCTATTCTAATTTTTGGTGGGAAGTGTAATTCCATGTGACAAAGGGACCTACATTCATGATTGCTAGTTTTTCTTCTTTGATCCAGGTCAGTACAGTGGTCATTGAGAGGTTTTTTATTTTATTTTATTTTATTTTGTAATTAATGAATTTAAATATATTATTATATTTTTTTCCTTGCTTAAGTTTCTTATCTAAATATTATGTCATTTTATTTTAATAAATAATTTAAAAGCAAGCATTTCCAGAATGAAGCCATCTTCATATTTTTGAAATAAGTAAGTGAATCATCACATATTTTCTATTAGATGTTAAAAAGAGGTGAAGGAGGATGCCTTAGGCCTTTGTTACTAAGGTTATGAATGATAATTATATCTTAATCCTATATACATTGGACTGTCTTACATATTTTAAATCTATAAATGATAATCTTTAATGCTATAGGTTGTGGACAAAAGAGTAACTAGGCTCTTATCATTGTTAGCTAGAAAAGATTGTAAGAGAAAGAAGTGGTTTTAAATTTTGGTAAAAAATGGTACCAGATTGCTTTAATTTTGAAAGTAGAATGTTTTGTCAAAAGCTATAGAATCTTGTAGACTTCATCTAATGATTATTTAGATCAAGAAAAGTTCTAATATAAAATTGAAAGGGTGTTCAAAAGAGACTACTATTGAAGTGATTTCATAAAAGATCACATAAAATGTTTAGTGGTATTGTATCTTTTTGGTGATATTTGGTTATATAAAGCTTGAATTCAATAGTTTTTCCATGTTTCAATTTATTGATGGTGTTGTATAAATCAAATTATTTACAAATTGTAATAAAATAATTACATAATTTTGCCTTAAAAATAGGTTGGATTTGTGGATATAGATTATTGATGTGATAAGCTTTGTTGTATATAATAGAGTCTTAACTTCAAATTTTTTTGTATATTTAGACTATTTGAGGAAACTCTCTTACTTAAAAAGACTAATGTTGTTATTGTTTCTATTTCTATTGGTTGAATATGTCCAATAGAAATAAAATTATTTAATTCTAATGTTAGGAATATAATTTGCTAATTATGCATAGAAGTATGTTGCAATGTAGATTTTGAAAGAAGACTTATTTATCAAGGCTTTTGTGGGTCGTTGAATTACTAGAGTTAGTAGAATGTTAGAGTGGTGGCTACAAGACATGGTGATCAATCAACTTAATTACATGTAGCGGTTTATGGTAGTAGGGCTACTTGATACTACAACGTAATTAATAGGGTTGAAGTTGGTCTTCGCAAAAAAAATATAATTTGAGTTTGAAAGAAGTTTTTATTTATAAAATAATAAAAAAAGAGTTTGGGATTGCCAAAGATCAAGTCCTCAAAGCAATTGCTTTTTGAAAGGAACTAGTTAAACTTTTGATTATTCTTGATTCTAAGATATATTATGAAATGTTCCATAATTTTTAAAATTTATATTAGACTATTGAGAAGACATTATTATTATTATTATTATTATTATTTTTATATTAGTTCTTTATTTTTTGTATATTTGTAATATGAAATTTTAGTGTTATTTTAATTTTAATTTTAATTAATTTTATTTTCAAGATTTACAATGCTTGATATTTCTTGATTCTATAACTTGTGTCTATATAAAATTAATTTTAAATTAACAAAGAATTAATATTTATTATTATTATTTTTTATTTTTTTATTTTTTTATGATAACATTTAGCTATCTAAAGAATAATTTGTAATCATATCTAAAATCTAAAATAACACAAAATCTAGATTTGGTTTTGTTGCATTATAAATATTTTTTTAATGAGATTTATAATTATTTGATTATAGACAAAATAATGGCTCTAAATTCATTTAGAAGTTTTTTGATGGTAAATTATATTAAACTTTTATTTAGATGTATATAGCTTTAATATCAAAAAGATGAAAATTTACAAAGAATTTTTATATGGTGCAAATATCTAACAATGTATTCCAAAGCTTTCATAATTATAATTTTTTAACAAAATTATGATTGTTAATTTTGATAAAGTTTTTTTTTTTTTTTTTTTTTTTTTTTTTTTCTTTAAGAAAATAATCTATTTCATTGAGTTGTCTATTTTTTCTTAAAGATTTAAGAATTATTGTAAAAAATATCTATGAATTTATTTCCTAACTTGTTATTATAAACTATTTTAAACTTATTATAAATTGTTATAAATCATTATTATAAATTTTTATAAAGTTATTTGCTACAAATCTAATTATTACTATAAATTATTATAACTTGTATATCTTAAGAAGCTATTTTACTTATGATGCTCATCTACTTATGACAACAATTATAGGTTTATAAATGGTAGTAATAACATTCTAATGACCTACAAAATAAGAAACATAAGTATTTACTATTATCTTGTCTTTAATCTCCTTCATGTCAGTATTTGGTGCAAATGATTTATCTTTTCTTATTATTGCAATTAATTCCACTTGTTCTACATATGTATTTTTATAAAATAATAATAAAAAATAAAACCAAAAAACTTAATCATATCTTAATAAGTACATGTTATTCTTCTGTAAGAGCAATACTAACTCTTTGTATACTTCCTATAACATTTTGATGATTTCAAAGAGAAAAATGCTTAAGCAATCTTAAAAAATACAACTTATGTAATTAAACTATAACTATGTAAGTTTTAGGCTTCTTTCTTCACTTTCAAGTCAAAGGCTAGACTTGATGAACTAACCATGAAGCTTTGAATAAATTTAAGGATAAATTATATAA